CCTGCTGAAAGTTGCTGCATTTGACTTCCTAAAATTAAGATTGTAGAAATAAAGAAAGATAATTATAAATTAAAGAATACGTTACAATTATATCTTATCCATCCCAGCAATTACGTCACGATGATTTATCTACGCATATTGTCGCAAAACAAATATGAAGAATCTGAGAGAAATTTCTTGATTAAACGTTTCTACGAAAAAGACCTATGAAAAAGAAGGTTATACCAAGACGGGAAATTTGTCATGAATCTAAAACTTAATCTACAATGTACTTTTTACTTCCTGTTTCTTGTCTTTTATCTCTTTTTTCCCCTTTTTGAAATTGTTTTATCGACCGTGTTTCTTGTCATGTATTTCTTGTCTCTTTCGAAGTTCATCAACTTTTATATCGAAAACGAAGAAACGGGATAAAAAGCGAAAAAATAGAAAATAAAAATTGGCAAAAAGCAAGAAACAGGAAGCAAAGAATACATTGTAGATTAGGCTAAAATCTCAGACAGAGTCAGAACATTTTTTGACCCTAGATAGCGTAGCCTATACATTTATAGACCCTCTCCTTACCTTGTTTCAAATCATAACTATAGATACATGACGGAAAAGAGTGAGACGGAACAAGCGAGACCGTGGACAAGAAGCGAGAAGCTCCTCCAAAGAGAAAGAATGACGAAGAGGAATAGAAGATGAGAAAACAAAAAAAAAAGAAGAGGGAGAGAGATCCACGTCGTCGCTCAGCGAGAGAAGTACAGCTTCGCGCATTGATATGCAACGGGCTGCATATACGGGCCACGCCGGGGCGAACAATACGACCACCGGTAAGGCACCACCGTGTAAACTATTCGGCATTCTCGGGCGTATAACGTACCATGCCGTGCTGCTCGATACCGTGCGGGACAGTTTACACGGCGCATCGGCGTATACGGCGCGGCGAGCGCGGGTCGTGACGCGCCGTATCTTGCATCGGATGTACCACCAGTGTGGAAACACGGATACGTACTTCTCTCTTTCTCTCTGCCCACCCTCCCCCCCCGCCCCTCGATCAGCCGCCTTCCTCTCCATCCCGTGTCTCGGTGTATCAGCACAGAGCAATCCACCCACCCGTCCGCGACCTTACCGGTGCTCAATCCTCCTTCGCCTCTTTCTCCTCCACCTCATCGTCGTCCACGATCTCAGCCTCCTCCTACTGCGCGAATCCTATTTCTCTCCTTCTTTCGACGGCCACCTGTTTGCTTAAACACAGAGAACCTTTTTCTCCTATCCTTCTAAATTCATTAGATTTCATCTGGCAATGATATTACGATCTGTCATAATTATGATGACCATATTTTATCAGAGAAAATAAAGGATAAACCTGACAATTTTAGGACTTTATTCCTAAATATTTCCAAACTCTCGTTTGTGGAAGATATTGCCATCACACTTTCAGCGCTACGTAAAACACAAACTCCTTTAAATAGCGAAAATATATCAGGGCATTTGGTGTAACGCTACCGTTTTGCTAGATCTTTTCTAAATAAAGAGAAGGGAAGACAGAGAGTATCTTCATTCGCGTGATATGCTTTGGCTCTTAGAGCCGCGCATCGTGCCTGAGCATACGTCCACGTGCACGTATGCACACGTAGGCGTTCGTGGAGTCCTCGGCGTTTTACTCGTGACGCGACTATGCTAACGCGATAACACCGCGCGTGGAATACGTTTCCGAGGCATTCGCTGGTCGAGGATTGTACCTCCGTTCTAGAAGACCCGCCAGATTAACTCCGGTATGCAAGTACCTTTACGCAAGCATCGCAAACGACTCGGTATCGTGACGCTATGCGAACATAACTTCTAAGTTTTCCAAGTGCAAGCAATGTAAATACGATGCAAGTAAAAGACAATAAAAATATGTACAAGGTACACTGTTAAATCTATAGTGTCAAATTTAATTTAACACTATAGATTTAACAGTGTATACATGGAAAGAACGATTTTGCTAAAGTATCTATAAATTTAGCTAGATGTGTATTTAAAAATAATTTTATTGAATTATCATATAAAATAATTATGTAGAATCACTCAAATTGATTGCTGGAATATCAAAACTTTTTGAAGCATTATTTTCGTCATGTCTGAGTTTCGCATATAATTATTTTATGATCCAATAAAATTATTTTTTTAGACACTTCAGCAATCGTTTCTTTCATGTAATATAATATGTGAAAATTATCAAAATAATGTCGATATATAAATAAATCGCTGTATTTATAAATATAAAATTTGCGTGGAGAAGCCTTCATTATTCATCGTCAGTCGCAGTATTCTCGACACGTGCTCGACGTGATGTAACATGATAATGCATTATAAGACACAACGGCCGACCAATGAAAAAGTTTAGCATAAAAGCGAATCAACTTACCACCAGTTGACGAGGATGACGCTGTCGTGGTACTGTTCACGCCACTGACGACGGAATTCTGCGGAATATTTTCCTTGACCGAGACGGTGTAACGCGGTTTCTCGCACGTGGCGATTCTGTGCTCCGCGGAGGAGACGGTAACCTTGACCTCGGCGTCGACGATACTCTTCAGGCCGGCTGCATCAGTCGCCGTCACATTGATGTGATGCAACGACAATCGCGAGAGCAGACTCGGCCTCGCCACGTGCAGCTCGCCGGTGTTACGATCAATTTGAAAGATTCCGTCCTCATTGCCACTGCTGATGCGATAGGTGACATGACCGAAGACGGAGATATCAAGATCAGTCGCCACCAGCTTCAAAATCGAACTGCGCGTCACATCGTCGTTGCGCAGGGTCACGTTATACTGATGTGGCTTGAAAATCGGCCGGTTGTCATTCACGTCTGTTACCTGGATGCCCACGATCGCTATCGTACTTAATCCCCCTGCGAACAGAATCCAATGCATCAGTAGATATATGCCTTATAGACATAAAATTAATTAATAGTTATGGAAAATATGTTAAATACTGTTAAACTAATAATGTTAAATTATAGAGGGAGGTCACCGATACTAACATAGGTCTTCTAAAGCGACATCCCCTTATTTCTTAGAAACTAACCTTTGCACCTTACTAATAAAAATGTGATCTGTTTAGCTAATTAAAGAAGTACAAACTTATAATTTTCATATATTTGTGGTTTATTTCTATAAAAATCAGCTAAAAACAAATTCTATGAATTCGAGAAGAAAATTCTTACGGTGTTCTTTTGCAAATTGCGTAATTAAAATAATAGTGACTGTATTATTGATAATATTATGTCATTTTAAATGTTTATAGTTTCATAAATTAGTTTTCTTTACAGAATAGGATATATCTTTATTTATAGAATAGAAATGTCATTATTACCTATGTCAGTTTTGGAGCCCATTTTGCCAAACGCTCATTTTTGCATAACTTACGAGAAACTTAATTATTGCAAAATTGCAAACAGTATTATAAAAACTGCTTATACTATCTGATAGAAGACACTTTTTAGTTTGTATTTATGCTTTTGAAGTTGTATTTTTACCTTTTGCTTAAGAAATATTGTCTAAAAACAAAGTGGTATGTCGGTATCGGTGACTTTTCTCTACTCAATTTGACTTATTTTTAATCATTTCTAGATCGACACTATCTCTACTCAATATGTGGTAAATTTAACTAAAACAATGGAGAACAATTCAAGAAATGTATCAATTTGACTCAAATTTAGTTTATTAATATTATATTATAGTATATTTTTATTATTTATTAAGTAATTATGTTGATATAAACGCTGTTTGAAAGTAAGCAATTCAACCACAGAAATGAATTGATTAGATGTAGTTTCTATAATTACATGTTTTGAGAGAGAGAATTAAAATATTATAATATTTGACACACTTGAAAGTTCAAAATAATCAAATGTTATTTAACTTAAGAATTAGGTTTAATTTTTAATTTTTCATATTATTTAATAGTGAATTTCTCATAAAAGTTAAGAATAACGAAAAAGAATAATGTTGAATGTTCAACTGTCATCAGCGATTTTACAGTACGGATTTGATTTAAACTCTGCAATTAATTATCAGAATCAAGCGGTTGAGCAGCGTTGAATTTGGATACTTGCTAGTGATCGCGAGTGGTCCACGATGTACGCGCAGAGGCGAGAGGTACGTGGCCGAGAGCGCATTATGTTTATTTCATTCCCGGCCGAAATCCTCTTATCGAGCCAAATAATGTCGGGGTATTAGCCGGCGTAGAGAACGAATCTACGGCGCGCCCGAAGCCGGTCGGCATAAATCACGAGCGTCCCGTTCCCGTGGCCTTTTCTCGGACCCAATCAGCCGCTGGAGAGTCTCTCGCTCTCTCCGTTCATCGTGTTTTCATCTCGTTCTCTCTTTCCGTTCTTCCTTCAGCATCCTTTCCCTCGGTCAGTATCCCGTTCCTCTCCCTTCGTTTTATTCGGACACACGTGAGTACGTGTGCGTCGACGTGAGCTCCTTTTAACCCCCGCGCGCGGGGTAATGCGCCGCTCGTAATAATATTTCAAACGTGAGAAGCTTACAGAGTCCTCCAAATGACCGCGCTTTTTTAGAGTATCTTGGGCCACTGTAGGGTAATTGCTCCTGGGACATCGACTGACCTACTCTCTAAAATCTTTGGAGTGGAATCTAACTCTAAAGAGTGAAATCTTACTCTTCAAAATTAACAATTAAGCCACTCTTTTTCAATACTGACTCAATTGTCATTCTTTATCGCTCTTTACAATTATATTTCGCTTCAAAGATTTTAGAGAATATAAGCTATAATGACTATTGCATTGCAAGGGAAGCGATTACGATATTATTCTCGTATTTTCGTATCCTTGCACATTCGATCTTTCATATTTAGTTATCCCATGATGCAGAACTCAAGCATTAAGCTTGCGAAAGTTACACTTTATCAGTGGCTCTCTGCAACTATATCGCTAAACCATATCGTCTCCCGTTTCAAATTAATCGGAGATTATCTGCAAATTCTATCTCTTTATATACGCGTTTCTACGATAGCGTAATGCTGGCGAGCAATGAGAAATCAGGCACGACGGGATATTATGCGAGCTCCTGGCTGCCTCGGATTTAGGCGATGTGCGACGCAAGTGTTAATATCAAAGACAGTATGTAAAATCCGATGTTTAAACGGTTTACAACCGTAACTCACAATAATGTATGGACTCAGCCGCGCGGAGCTCTCTCCGAGCGCGAGGAGATTTATAGGTGCGAGTGTCATTGGAGTCATGCGTCAAGAGCCGGTCCCCCGATCTCCCGGGTCCGTGACGCCACCACGGCCTTTTCTCCGATAGAAGAACGAAGCTTCTGATCAAAATGTAGAGAATTTTAGGCTCAACAAAATTAATCGTAGATAAAGGATGATGCCAATTACGAGCCGACATTAACTGTGCGTGAATTACCGCGTATATTATTTAGATAAACATTGAAGTAAATGTTTCAATCTCTTTTGGATCACCTTTATTTAAGGAAGTACGATCGATATTTCAAAATAATAAAAAATTAGAAATTGTTCTAGATTGCATTTAAAAGTAATACAAAAAATTTAGCGACGATTTATCACCTGATCAAAAGGATTTCAATAAAAAGTAATATTTTTTTGTTTCTAATAAAAATATATGGAAATGTATTATAAAGTTACGATAAAAATTTCAATTTTTTTGGATGAGACTTATACAAAGTTATATTATAAGTATTTTAAGCATTCAAGATGATTTATGTTAAAATTACGTTGCAATGCAAAAATTAGTTGTAATTAAACAAATAAATAAACAAAATATTTAAATCTTTTTGTAACTAATTGGTGAATCAATGAAACTTTGCGTAAGTCATTTTGAATGCTTAAAGTTCTTATACAAAAATATTTAGATTTTTGTTATTATTACTTTTCAAATTTTAGTGCAGAACAATAAAAATAATAACAAATAATGTTAATAAAAATGTATTTTTCAATAAAAATGGAATATTATAAATACACCTTTTACATAAATATAATTTGTATCTTTTTAAGTTTCTGATCGACTATGGAACATCGAGGCATCGAAAAGAGTTAATCTTCAGTCCAGTGAAAGTCATTCATGAAGCTTATCGAAAAAGTCCCTAACGACAATTCTTAATTGTTAGGCACGGACGTTTCCCACAGATCAAATGACGCACTTTATAGTATTTTTTTCCCTTTCTTCTTCTTTCTTTAGGAGGTAAAAAAATTGATTACGCGCTCTCGCGTTCGATACGGAAGACAGAAAATGCATCCAGGTACGAACGGATACCGACTTCCTGGGGATAGTTCAACGGCATTTTAATGCACGTTGCCTGATATTTTCGTGCCCGCTGCAGTCCGGCCCTTTTAATTTCACGCGGTCGATCGTCGGGATGAGTTCTTTTCGGGATTCGTGCGGCGGGGGATACGAGGGGCCTCCGAGAGATTTATGCGGCCGGTAGGTGCGGCGGTGCTCAACCTTATACTGTGAAATTACGCCACGCGAGGAATGAGTTCCACGCATTATGGAAACGCAACCGTAAATATTAGCATCCCGCAGGTTTAATTAGAATCATTTTTTTATTAGTATCTCCAATTTCTTTTTTCATATAAGAACAATCTTGATAAAAGAGGTTGAGAAATGATTTTCCCTTAAATCGCGCATGCATCATGTGGCAGATATACCTTTGCGTAAAACCGTAATGCGTTTCTTTCGCTCTTATGAGAGTAAACCCTTACTGGTTGAAACGAGACGTAGGTACCATTAATATACTGTGAGCAAACGCTCGCACACTAATTCCGGGATATGCTACAAAGTGCGAACTGAAAGCTCGCACCAGTGACATATCCGAGATTATGCGCAGTAACACGGCGGGAGTCGAAAGGGTGAAATAAATAAGCGCAAGAACGGCGCGGACAATGACAGTCGGTGGAAGTTAAACCCTCCGGAGATTTATGACGCCGGTGCCAATAAAGTCACCTCCCAGCGTAGCTCCGGAACGTGCGTCCCTTGCGCCTACCTTTACGTATCTGTATACAGAACTGCGTTATCGAGATTTCGAGAAAAGAAAAAGATCTAATTCTACATTCAAAGTGGATCTTAACTTAAATATTTCTGTATAAATTTATATACATATCTGATTCTGCAAACCGTGCGCTGAAACTTTTTTCGGTCTTGAAACGTAATCATAAACAGAACCAATAGTAATATCATTTATTAATTATTTTCCATTTTCACACAAGTGATTCTGAGTTTAAAGTTATGTGAATATTTTTTAATGACGTCACTACTTGCTTTGGTGACAAAATTACCGCGTAACAATACAGATTTATAATCTCACTTTTAATGTGAGTTAACAAGAATCAGTAAAGTACACGGTTTCGAGCTTGTAGGTAAAAACAAAGATGAATCTCGCTTGTCAGAATGAAAAAGAACGTATATTCAACTAAGTTATGACGTCATAAATAAGAATTATCTAAGTTTTTGTAAATGGAAAGCAACTATTAAATTGATAAGTAATTTGATAATTTTTTGTGCTAATAAGCATAAAAAATTTTTATAAGAATATTAATAATCTGAAAAAAAGACTTCAATATTTTTCCAACACGATATGAATCGCAGATGAGCGATAAAATCCGATCGGATGGAGGAATATTCTCAGCATGTCAGAAAAACTATACGAAAGACTTCGCTAGGAGATTAACGTGGAAATTACATTTGTAAGATATCGCTCGCATGTAATCGATGCCAAGTGGAGATTCCGCAGCTTCAAAGGCCGTGCGCTGATAGAGAATCCAGTTCGAATGTACGTGCCGGATGATATCGCTATAATCACATCGCATAGTAAATGCGTTGAGAGAACGTTTTTAAAACACGGTTTGATTACATATTTACAATATTATTTCCTCTATAATTTTATAGCAACGAGATTAAATCGATTGAAATAGTAGTCACTCGTCCTCAGATTTACATCGCAAGAAAACGGAAAATTTTAATCTATTAATCTTTTAATCTAGCTGACAACAACAATTAGCAGAATATAGTTCTAAATTTATTATTCATTAAGTGATCCAAGATTATCTAGCAACTCTGGTCGGTATCTCGCGTCCAGGACTGATTCCGCATCCGCTGGCTTTCGCAGTCGAGCAAAATAACTCGCACCGAGGAAATCCGTATATAAGCAGATGCCTTTTGCAGATCTCCGCCTCGATCCTAAGCACGCAGGTAATAATTATCGCTGTAAACGCGCACGGCGTTAGCCACCGCTATTAGCGCGATAAAACCTCTGTGGTTTGGTTATCATCCGCGTTTTCCGCCGATAAACATCGACGACGATATATGGCGCCTCTTTGCACTTCCTAGCAGCGGAGAAACTACCACAACGCAGGGGAAGACAACTCCTCGTTGTTGTCGTCGTCGTCGTCGTCGTCGTCGGAGCGACCGTCAACAGGAGGTATAAATCATGCGCACCTGGCCCGCGTGGTTCACGGTGGCTCGCGATTCGCTTTACTGCCGTTGCGCCAAAATGATTTTCTCCGCGCGAATTACTGGCGGGCAATAAGAATTAATCGCCGGGGTAAAAATAAGAGGCGAGGAGGAGGATTAATGAGTCTCAGGCTGCGCGGCGCCATGAGGAAGCGCTAGACGCGTGAGGACGTGCGAATCGCCGGAAGGTATTTGTAATCATTTCCGCGCCGGAGTCTTTGGCTGAGATATAATATATCCAAGTGCGCACGATTGTATATATACACCTCGGGGAGATGAGATTTATTTATTATCACACGAGCTATCACTTCCGTTCTGCGACGAAATAATCCGCAGAAATGTTTTCTTCTTTCCTTTAATTTCGTGATATTATTATTACTCTGGTTCTGTTACATAGTTGGAAAGTTTGTGTTAAATTTAACACATTTCACATTCCCAAATGGTCCACTCAAATCTTTGTGAATTTAACACTAATATCTTAGATGAATATGTTAGAAAATAATACGAATATTACGTAAAAATTTAATACAAAAAATATAACACTGACATAATTTGTAAGTAATATTTCTTCATTAAAATTAACATTTATAATATGTTAAATTAACATATTTTACTCATTTTTATGTTATTTGTTTACTTTACTTATAAATTGTGCTATTTTAACTCTCTCTCTCTCTCTCTCTCTCTCTCTCTCTCTCTCTAAGAAAAGTTGAATATCAATTTAATACAAAATATTCAAATAAAATCATATACACATGTTGCGTTAAATTAATATTCAGATATACTTAAAATTCGATGTACATAAAATTTTAATAAGAACTTAAGTGGACCGTTTCTAACACAAAATACAAAATATTTTTTTACTGTGCAGAATTGAACTTCAAGACTGAAAATTAAATTCGGCGCGCAGTTCGTAGAATTGATTACGATTCATACACCGAATTATTGAAGCACTACAGATCCAGCTTGACCGTTTAAGACTTTTATTTCCTAGTTGTTGTGTATTCACATTATAACTATAAATGATACTTTGTTTAATATCATTTCCTTCTGTTTTTCAGTTCCTTACTGAGATAATCATCGCGTTGCGTTCGTCAGCAGATGGTATAAATCACATCACGTTGGTGCTCATCAGTAATGCGATCTACCGCGATGGTATTTGCAGTCGCTCCTGTATATCGTCATATCCGGCCGATTCTATTGTCCATCGGATAGTGTCGCCAATGCTGCTGTTGCACGGTGAACAATCGTATCGATAACGAGCGACAATTACGCAAGAATGTATTCATCCCTGTTTGCAAAACGGCATAACGCCGACAATAGCAATGCTCTCTTTTTCGGTTTTTTTTTCATTTCTTAACCACCGGTTAACATTTTCCTTCTTGGATGCTATTCCACCGTCTTCTCGCCCTCTTCCTCTTAGCGTCGCAGGATTGGTAAATGCAATGGCCGTTGGTCGCACGGTAGCCTCACGATGGATCAATGGACCTTCAGTCGTTGTCCTTTCCCATAAAGCGACCGCGAGCTGCCGCGTTGAAAATGGCCAGGGAGCCTACCGTCGACATAAATCATATACCCTATTACAGAGCTACTAGATCTCGACGGGCCGATAGCCGGTCGGTCTTCTCCTCTCCGCACCACGTCGCCGCTTTGTTTCTCTTCCCGTTTTCTGAGCCGCGAGTTTCTGCGCGTGTGTCTCCGTACGTTGCCGTTTCCACTTGTTTCTACTTGTCTCACTACCCTTATCAACGCTCGTGCGCGTACACGAGGCTTGCACGCGAATAACGGGAGCCGGGCATTGTTCCTACGTCGTCAGAACGAGAGATCGCGATGGCGTGAGAGATCTCGCGATCAAGCCGAATTATCGCAACGGTTGTGACCGTCTCGAATTACAATGGCTGAGGTTGTTAAGCGTTTAGATACAAGTTCCGAAGGTATAACTTCACGACTGCGATACGTTATGTTAAACGAAGAGATCGGTATCTGATATTTTGTGCCATTAAGAAAAATATTTTGAGCTACCAACTCTAAAATAGTAAAATATTAACGTTATTTATTATAAATTAACAAAAAACTGTAAGCAATAATAAAGATTAAAATGTCGGAAATAATAGGTAATATCAAGTCAAGTAATATTAATCATTAAGTAGGTAGAAGGAGTAAGAGAGCACAGCACCTCAAGTATAGTTTTCTTTAAAATCTTGTTCTGGGAAAGGAAAATAAAAAGTATTACTCAGAAGTTCATTATTTTTACATTCCTCTATCTCATAATATAAATAATATATTAATAGAAAGTATAATTATAAAATTAAAATTTTTTTGTGTGGAGTGTTCTGAGCATTCTATCTATCAACTTACATATCTTTAAATCAATTAAAAGTTAATAATCCTATCTAAGAGAGTTGGTAGAAAATTATTAATCAAAATATTTTCTTTAAAGAAACAAAATATCTGCAGATACCGATTTCTCAGTTCGACATTAAGTATCGCAGTCGTGGCTATTTATTTACTAGAGTCAGAGATATGCATCAAGTCCTTTTTTAAGATGGGTGATTTAATAATCGGACATTAGAAAGAAAATAGCACAAACCTCTATCCGTGGCAATGACAGGCAGTTCCAGATAAGGTACTGTTTCTCTGTCTAGCGGCGACCGGATGCAAATATCCCCTGTATCACTGCGCACCAGGAGCTGTTCGTTCTCCACTCGACCGCCAGCCAGAGTATAATTGACCATTGCGTTTACACCGCAATCGGGATCGGTGGCTTGCACCTGCAACAAAGATAAATCAAGGTTAACACCGCGATAAAACAGAGATTCCGACATACGGTGAATCGAGACGCACATGTACATTTTCATACGAATCTCAGTAATTTCATGTACCGTGTATCTGTAATACAACTTGGTTTTAAAAGTGAGAAACTTATTACTTCGCTCGCAGTCTTTTACTCACTACATTCTTCATTCTGGCGCTAAAGTGAAGATATAGGTAGATATATTTTATAAATATGATAATGAGAAATAATCAAGCGTTTCATAAAATCGTCAAAAAGATAAATTACGAGGACACGAGAAAATTTAAAGCTTCCAGAAACAAAATAATTTAACATTAATGAATAATCATCTGATAGGAAAAAAAATACGAAATCGAATGTGTGACGAGAAAGCGTCAAGCTCGTTCGTAATCTTCCCCGAAGATCATTTCCGCGATTAATGGCTCCCCGTTGAAATTTATCGATCCCATTTGTTCGTTCCGCGAATCTTTTTTTCACGCCAACAAAACGACACGCGGATGACGAAGGGCATAACGTCGTCGCGCCTCCCCGAAGGCGGAATCTACCCGGGCGAAGCACTTTGTTTAATTTCGCCCGACGTTCCTGAAACGGGATACTCGCGGATCGCCGGGGAGGTGGTCCATTCGTAATCTGGGCCCCAGTGACTAATTTGCGAGCGAGCCTTCCTTTCCCTGCCGTCTCGGAGGAGGACCCGAAGACGTTACCGCGACGAACGGACAGACGGACGAGCGAACGAACGGACAGACGTGGGGGCGGTGATGGACGCCTCTGTGCTTCCAGCGTATGTGATTTATGCGACGATTCATCGCCACCTACCCCACCCCACGATGTAATACAAGTTACGAGATTCCCGTACGGTCGTTAACGAAAATGCCTCCCCATTTTTTCCCCGCCTCGCAAACGCATCGTTGGCAGATTGTTCTCTCAGAGAATAAGTCAGACTGTCTTTTATTTAAAAAAATCTTCATCCCTCCTTGGTTTTTGTGAGAAAAACATGAAAAAAAATGATAAGGCTTGAATTATAAATTCACCATATATTCATTTTTTTATATAATTCTTTTCCTCCATTTTATGCATTAAATATTAAATTCTCAGGCGTTTGATTTATGATAGATACGTTCGCATTGAATAAGTTCTCGCCTCAATATGGATACTCGAATGATAAAACTTCTGAATTACAACTTAAATGGAACTTTCTTTCGGACGTTGCGATATGGATTTGATGATTTATCATGCGTTTCAAGCACAACGCGTAACGCAAGTTGTCTTGGACATAAGGTGAGCGATTTCCAATTTTTAGAGTATCATAATTCCAATCGGCAGATTACGATCGATCGAGCCGATCGGGTAATTGCTGCTACGGCAATCGGTCGTACGTGGATTAAGTCAACGGGGAGATAAAGAGAAAAGGAACTTGTAAATTTATATTGGCACCAGACGTAATTTGCGGAACATGGTGGTAGTCGTCTCGTGGGCCAGTCGTCGGGAAAGACGACGTAGAAGAAACTGAGACGCGAATCTCGACCGGTAATGAACCCCTTAACCCAGGCAGAGTTGCCTTAATGACAGTTTAAAGTTTCTTCTCGCGTCCGAAGTATCGCGCTGGCCATCTAGTCGTGATCCGAGTACTCGGGAGGGAACTGTTCCACCCATGTTGAACGGAAACGTGGAATCATAGGATCGCAATCGCGAGCCAATGATCGATCACTTCGTTACCACACGCGCACAGTCTATTTGTCGCAATAAAGACAGTCGGATCCGTGAAACTATAATGAGGATGATGATTAACGCGAATCACTGTTCGCATTTATCTCACATTCATAGAGAAATGTTCCGTATTTTGTAGTAAATTAAGCGATTATTCGTGCTGGCATATAGTGTTGAAAGCAAAATGAATCGCACGTGAAATCTCTTTAATCATACACTATAGTAATATAGTCAGAATTACGTTAGTGAACGCGTGTCTGAGTTAATACAGCGTTTTATTAATTTTTATAAAGCTAACAGCTAGAATATGAAGTAAGCACATTTTTTCATTTTTGATCTTTGGTATTAAAAATGCAGAATATTTTTTTATTTATATAGGAAAGATAGAAATATGAAAAGTGCTACTGGAACTATCAACGTTTTTTAAAAATTAATACGTAAAACATCGTGCTAACTTTACAGACACAGCGAACACGTCTTTTACTTACAGAGTTGAAACGTCTTTCTCTCCGCAGTTTTTTTTTTTTTTTTAATTAATTGCAAGTCTGATGACGGTTCGGTGAGGCAAGAAGAACGCGCGGGAAGAAATTAAATTTGCTATCTGCCATAATATTCCACTCGGAAACAATGTACGAGAATCGTGAGAATTGTAGGGAGGGCGCGTCGAAAGAACAAGATTGCAATCTTAAGCTACAATTAAGAAGGTCGAGGCGGTTCGTGTGGAGAAAACATTCCTTTCTACGTAGGCGGATCGCCAACGAATCGCATAGGGCAGACTAGAGTAAGGCTTCTGAAAGTCGATAAATCGGCGCGTATATTTGTCGGCATTTGTCATTACTCCGCCCAATCTGATAAATGAACGGATATAATGAGTAGCAACGAAATTATAGCGCGAACGTATTATGTTATATTAAAGTATACGTCGTGCGTTATATTAGTCGGTGTATAACACGTGTATTTTATCGGTATTTATAGTCGATAGCACGGGGGAAATATGGCGATAGGGAATATATGTGAGTACTATAAAATATTACGACTCGTCCCATAATACGCACCGTACGTTAATAAACTGACGTTATTAATATCCTTAAAGCACCTCTCAGTCGATTTAAACCTGCTGTCCTGAGAATGCGCGTGTGAGAATTACCATAATAGAACCCTAATTTGCAACAACATCCCCTGCGTGCCTGGCGCGAGTGCGCGCGTCCATCGTGATTTTTCCAGAACGAGTAACGCATCTATCCGACGTACTAACAGAAGGGCTATGAAAGGAAGAGACCAGAGGAGGTGTGGAAAGCGAGAAGAAAAGAAAGAGAGAAATGGAAAGAAAGAGACAACAAACCAGAGCGCTATGGGGCCCAACGTAAGTGGAGGCAGGACAGAGGATAATAAAGCAGGAGTCCACGGGGAATGATTTAGTGGCAAGCGGTCGAATAACTTTCCCGCCAACACTGTTGCCACCTCGAAGCGGCGATGAGCTCTTCGTGGCTCGTGCAGAAACGTGCTGAGCGCGTCGCCGCTTCTCAAAAGAAGAGGAACGAAGATAAAAGGATCAAGCTGGTGCTCAAAAGGAGGGAAATTTGTTGGCTCGTATGCGGAACCTCCTCTTGAGCAGAAGGGAGAACTATCACATTTCTCTCTTCTTTTAGGAAGAGAGAGAATCAGTGCGGAAAGAAAAAGAAAACCAAAGATCCTCCAGACCTACTCAGATAGTCATCCTAATGAATTACTGTCAAGCAATATTGATGCTGATCTTACAGTCGATTTAGGATTCACTTCAGAGCTAATTTCTTCACGCGATAGTACAAGGAAAGAAAGATTTTTATTGAAATATCTAAAAAAAATTAGCTAGTAGATATACATCTGAAAATAATTTTGTCTCGGATCATAAAAATAATTATCTAGAAACTGATTATTAAAACGTCAAAACTTTTTGCCGCATTGCTCATCATGCTTAAGATTTCTACAAAATGATTTCAATGGCCCAACAAAATTATTTTAAGATTTATATCTAGCTAAATTTTTAGATATTTCAGCAAAATCGTTCTTTCCGTGATATGATTGCAATTCTTGACTACATTTACCCTTCGCTATAGTCTTCTCTCTCTCTCTCTCTCTTCGCTAGCATTATTCCATTCCTACTTTGTAATCCTTTCATCTCGCCGAATTATGATTTATTGAGGAGATTATTATGCCTTATAAGTGATAGAAATGATGACGTCTATTGGATTTGGCATTTTTAATTGTGAACTGATATCACATATTTAGTACAGTTCTCATACGTGATTTTGAATTTTGAAAAGGATTTCCGTGTTCTTTATTTGAAGGAAGAAGACAGAAAGAAGCAACAATATACACACGCGCGCGTACACAGAATCGCAGTGTATTAAATCGCGAGCAGTTTTACCTGCTATTCTGATACCTCAGAATATGCCGCGTGATGCATTGTTCCGCTCGTTTTGTTGTGGCCCGACCTTGCGAGAAATATCGATTTCAATCGGCGTATATGTGGAATACAATCCGATGCGAATTCCCTTCGGTAAGATAGACCAATACCGAAGCCACGAGATCGCTTTGTTCGCTTCGAGAGGAAATCCTCCTAGGTTCCCAAGCAAGTGATCGAAATAATGCCTTTGCGCCGTCACGCTCAGATGCGTTACATAACAGACGTTACATTGTACAACAAATTTTTCCACGTTCAAAATTTTAATTTAATTGATTTCTTCACCCTAATTTTGTGAAATCTAGTAAGATAAAGGATCAAATAAATTGTGCGGTACAAGTTAAAGATAGTCAGTTAGCAAAACCAGCTATAAATCAAGATTTAACTCACTATGTATCGTATCACTTACAATGCGCAACATCACTTCCAATATTCAACAAAGCTAAGGAGAATCGTTCCCTTCCGTACGCCGTATGTAACGCATTTTACAATCGCTTAAAGTGGCTTTAAATCTTCCGGCGGGCGCAAGTACAAGCGTGTAATATAAATAATCTGAATGTCCGTCCGCGATCAGATAATCGTATTAAAGTGCGCATACAACGCAACAGTGGTAGGCTCTCATCGCCCTCCACCCCGTGTGTCTTATCCGTCAAAACCCTCTCTCTGCGTTCCTTCCTCTCGCCACCCATCCCCAAAGAAATAGAGAAAGAGAAAGAAGGAAGGAGGTGAAAGACGATTGGAAATCATCCCCGTGGTGGTCAGAAGTATCGTGCTCGTTGCTATCTCGCGTACGTTCGCCAGGGAACCGCGAAGAGAAAC